GTCAACCAAATTTACTTTTTTTTTATGGGTTGAGTATTGATACTAACAAGAATTTTCTTCTAGTTGTTGCTATCAAGGATATCCAAAATACTTATGGATTGAGTAGAAATAGTTGGCAAGGAGATCCATGTGTCCCTAAACAGTTTTTGTGGGATGGATTAAACTGCAACAACTTAGATATTTCTACACCGCCTATAATCACTTCTTTGTAAGATCATTATTGTATTTATATTATTTTGTTAGTCATGTCAAATCATTTTTTCATCTTAACATGAAATGTGTTCATAAATGTCTTTAGAAATCTATCATCAAGTCATTTAACGGGGGTCATCGCCCCTAGCATTCAGAATCTACTCAACCTACAAGAATTGTAAGTATCTCAAATTTTGCAACTAAGCATAATAAAAAAAACTTATTCATCGTAATTATATCTTATTTATAATATATTTCGTACTTTAAAATGCTTAATTAGAGACTTGTCAAATAACAATTTGACGGGCGGAGTACCTGAGTTTCTTGCCGGCATGAAATCGCTTTTGGTCATGTGAGTATTTAATTGTGAAAACACAATTTTTTTGTCTCTTAGCTTCCTTCATCATAAGATTGCTTATGTTTCTAACTTTGCGTCTATATTAACAGAAATTTAAGTGGGAATAATCTAAATGGCTCTGTTCCTCAAACCCTTATAGAGAAGAAAGGACTAAAGTTAAAGTAATTGTTTTATTATTATATTATATTTTCACAAGTATATAAAATCACTCGATGTGTTTACACTATCCTAACAACACTGGTAATCAACAGTCTTGAAGGAAACTCAAATCTTATTTGTCCGGATGGGTTATGTGTAAAGAATTCTGAAAATGGCGGTTCCAAGAAAACGAATGTTGTTGTACCGGTTGTTGCATCAGTTGCGTTCGTTGTTGTTCTTGGATCTGCATTGACTTTCTTTTTTGTGTTCAAAAAGAAAAAACCGTCAAACAGAGAAGGTATATACAAAAATCTTTTCAATTGATATAAACTTCGCAATATATTCATAATACATATATGTGAAATCTTATTAGATTGATGCATCATAAATTAGGTTTATCACCATATACGCAAGCATCAGATGCTGGAAGAACGAGATCTTTAGAACCATCAATAATGACAATAAACAAAAGATTTACTTATTCAGAAGTTGTAACAATGACAAATAACTTTACAAGAGTCCTTGGTAAAGGAGGATTTGGAATGGTTTATCATGGAACTGTAAATAATACCGAACAAGTAGCCGTTAAAATGTTATCACACTCATCTTCCCAAGGGTACAAAGAATTCAAAGCAGAGGTAATTTTTAATTAAGTTCTTACTAATTTTAAAAAAAAAAAACATTCACGTGCTTTAAAAATGACAAGTCAAATTTGTTTCTATGGTTCTTATACTCTTTTAGGTGGAACTTCTTCTTAGAGTTCACCATAAAAATTTGGTTAGTCTTGTCGGATATTGTGATGAAGGAGAAAATCTAGCTCTCATATACGAGTACATGGCTAATGGAGACCTGAGAGAACATATGTCGGGTAAGTATAATGAATTGCCACAAATTAAAGACCATATTTTGACTGATTTCACATATTCATATATTGGTTCAAATGTAGGGAAACGAGGTGGATCTATTATAAATTGGGAAACTAGACTAAAGATAGTTGTGGAATCTGCGCAAGGTTTGGTATAGAATTTGTTTTTTCCTCTATTTATTTATTTTAACCTTTGATTAAAATGAAACTTGTTGTATAGGACTGGAGTATTTGCATAATGGATGCAAGCCACCAATGGTTCATAGGGATGTCAAAACTACAAATATATTGTTGAATGAACATTTTCAGGCGAAGTTAGCTGATTTTGGGCTTTCAAGATCTTTTCCGATTGAAGGAGAAACTCATGTGTCAACAGTTGTTGCCGGAACTCCTGGATATCTTGATCCAGAGTAAGTGTTATGAGAACGTTGATTACTACTTTGTGTTCAAATAATTTAAATATATTTTTTCAATCTCTTATATTTCATCGCTTAATTGATATCATATATTTGAATTTTTTCTTCTTTTCTAATGCCATAACGAACCAATTTTGCAGGTATTATCGTACAAATTGGTTAAACGAAAAAAGTGATGTTTACAGCTTCGGTATTGTACTATTAGAGATCATCACAAACCAGCCTGTAATCAACCAAAATCGTGAAAAACCGCATATAGCAGAATGGGTGGGGGTAATGCTTACAAAAGGAGACATCACAAATATTATGGATCCAAAACTTTATGGAGATTATGATTCTGGATCTGTTTGGAGAGCAGTTGAACTAGCAATGTCATGTCTAAATCCTTCTTCAGCTAGAAGACCAACCATGTCTCAAGTTATTATTGAGTTAAACGAGTGTTTGACATATGAAAACTCAAGAGGAGGAACGAGCCAAAATATGAACTCACAAAGTTCTATAGAAATGAGCATGAACTTTGATATTGAAACTATCCCTATCGCTCGCTAGGCTATGAAAACCATCTTATATATATTCATTCTATTAAGTGAATATTTAATTATTTAAATAAGTTTGAATTTTTAAAATAAATTTTTCGCGTTGATGAATGTGATTTTTTGCAATAAAGATATATAGAAAGACTTGAACTATAGTACAAAAAAATGGTAAAAGAAAAAGATCGAATCACAA